TTACGTGTCTGGGAGGAGCAGGCAAACTACAATGGAGTCGCAGGAATGAACTCCCACCGTTACCTAATGTGCTCACATGTCAGAACATCTTCTCCCTGTGTGGGAAGTTGACTGGACATTTGCCAGTATGTGGCTGGCTTGGTGTCACAACTGCATTCATAAAACGGTGTGCAAACTCTGACAACTCGCTGGGATGATGAAGAGCAGGATCCACCCCTGACAGACATCATTACCAGATTGGCACAGAAGGATCCGGCACAAGGTGATTGGTGTGTTGATGGATGCAAAGTTACCATGAGGGTTGACATAAGCTTCTTGACTACTGGTGTTGTGGAAAGCAGCAAATCCCAGGTTGAAGATGCCTGTTGGCTGCAATCAGAATGTGAAGACAAGCATATCAACCTGGCAGAGCTTGACGCAATCTTGAGAGGCATCAACATGGCACTGCAATAGAGAGCAACTGTGGTTCACCTGAAGACTGACTCAACATGTGTGCATTGATGGGTTTCTGATACACTATCTGGAAAGTCTCGAGTGTGCACCAAGGTGACGACAAAAATGTTGATAAGGTGGCTTCCTGAGGCAGATGTAATTTCCTCAGATGTGGCCAGAGATAACTCTTTACTTCTAATAACTCCCTTAGAAGTATTCAGTCTTGCATGAGGGAAGGTTTTAATTTTGATAGTATGAAAGCTCTTCATCTTTATTATATTTTCTGTGTGTTTTCTATGTTCCATCTCAACCAGCAAATTGCCATCTCTCAACTGTTTTAGGATTAATCCTACTGGATAGTATCTTTTCAACCAAGAAAATCAAAGTTTTGCCAGTGGAGTTTCTTTTAGAGACGTAAGCACAAAAAATCTTGGAAATTCCATATTAATTTCTTCTTCAGAATCAGAGTCTGAAAGACATCTCTTGGGCTTTTCATTTTGATTATTCATAATTTTTGTGTATTAAGATTCACTGCCTGTCCTCCCCACTCATCATGGAGCCTGACATTGGGACGTGTCAAGGGGGGAAACCCAGTCACCTTGACAGGTCAGGGCTACACAAACCAGCATACTCATATTTGAGAGAGAGACTCCAAGTACCCATTAAACCATTTGTTGCACTTCACAAACAAGTGTACAAACCGGCATGTTCACAGCCATGTCTAAGTCTAAATTTCTTCAAACTGATTGACCCTCAAGCCATCTCCCTCTAACGCCTATAAATTGGATAGAGATGGTATTTTATCCTGGTGTATATTTGGGGTATTGTATTTAGTTATAAAGTACTTAAATTGATATAGTTATAGGCGCTAGGGCTGGTCATGAGTAGCTAATGGATTGGATTGAGCCTAATCCAATTAAGGGCCAAAGTGGTGTGCTGGTGGTCTCATTGGTGGGGAGGGAGCCTTACCCCTTTGCAGAGGTGCAGTTGGCATATTCTGAAGCCCCAGCTGACAGGGCGAGATAATAAATGAAATGGGCAAAGAACAAGTGATGGAACTAGAAAAAAAAAGAGTCCCTCCACCAGGTGGGACACTATTGGTGGATGGATGGATGGGAGAGAGAGGGGGGGAGAAGAAAGAGTATGTTGGGAAAGTGGAGGAAGTAGAAAGAGTGGACCAAAGGTGAAAGTAGAGAAATAAAGGAGAACAAATGAAAATGAAAATATATGAAGAGAAAGAAAAAGAGCATAATTGAAAGGAAATTTGCCAAAACTTATGCTTTGAGACTGAATTGGATTTTAGTTAAGAATGGTATAGTTCCAAACAATTTTGATTAATGACTGATTTTAAAAGAAAAATAAGACAAAAAAATACTTAATGCATTCAAATCTATATTTCTTCTCTGGAAGTGATAGAAATTGCTTTCTACAAAGACCAGACATAATTTGCATTTACTAAAATTGAGAATTCCTACAATATTTATTCTTCAGTACAGTTTATTATCTCTGGATAACCTTTTGTTTTGTTCATGATACAGAGTAAGTAATGAACCTAAGATAAAAACAAATATGAAAAATAAGGCCCATCATCTGTGAGAGAGGAAAGTTTGGGATTCAATCCTTTAAATAATTTTCTATCAATTTAGAATATGTATTTTTTTCACAATATCATACTTGTGTACTTTGGAAATCTTTTGATTGTGAAAAGACTTATAAAGGGTAATGTCAGTCTATTATTCTCAAATCCTTCACTAGATGCATCACCAACCATCAGCTAAAAAGCAATTCTGGTCTATTTTGAAACTGCAGCTGCAAATCTCCTTGAAATCAATGCAACAACAACTTTCAGTCTGAATTCAAACATGAAAGAACTGTTCCAAACTAAACAAGAAGGTACAGCTGAAAGGAGTGGAGGAAAAAGTTGAAATCTCAATTGAAAGGGACATACACAATTTAAACTAATTCATTTTGCAAGTGTGACTGTACAGTGTGTATAGGAATTTATTAATAGCTTCTTTTCACTATTGCTTAAAAAAGTAAATTAGACATCAATAAATATCTTGCCAAGAGTAGATATTAATTATTAGAAAAAAATTTCAAGATTGTAAAATAGGAAAAAAAAAACATTAAATGATGATGTGTCAGTTCACATAAGGAAAAAAAAAAAAGAAAAAAATTTTCAAAGATATTTCCCATTAGTAAATGATATCAGTTTTTTGGCATTACTTTTGGATAACATTAAGAGTCATAAAAAAGTGTTATCTTCTGATAAAAAGCAAAATATTATTCATCATAATATAACAATTGAAAGCATTGGCTTCTGTTTGGAAGGGTTTTATAAACACAATGCTAACAGGATGGTAAGGAAAAAAAATAAAGAAAATACCTAAGTTTTTGATCACACAATGCCATATTGAAAAAAAAAAATTCACTTTAAGATGTTTTTTTTTTAATATTTTTGACCTAATTTAATATTGTTTTCCTCAAGGAATGTCACACTTTACAGAAAACGTGAAATATCAAAATGTTTCAAGTGAGTTGAGACTCAATTTTGATTCAAGATTACATGAAAGAAACCAAATGTTTCCATGTTTTTCTTTTTTTAACTAAAATTTTTTATTATTAGAGAACAAGATAGTCTTTTTGTATCCTTTTATGAGCCTATGAATTATCCAAATTCATTATTATATATCTTTGAACAACAAATTTTATACATTTGTCACATTTAGCTTTGTTTGTCTTTCCTTCACAAATGGAAGCTAATGTATTTGCATACACTACACAAGATTTTTTCTTTTTAAAGAAAATCTTTGACAATTAGTAGAGCAAGTTGCAAACTGGAAAAAAAAAAATGAACATTTTTGGCAAACATTTATTTTCTATTAGAAAACCAGAAAAAACAATAATCTTGGTGGGTGGGGAACATTTTTCACTTCAATATAGGCATTGTATGATGATAAAGCAAATACCAACAAAATCATAATTTGTTCAATACCAAAGTAAGAAAAAAAAAATGAAGGAAGAGGTGGACTGGATTCTGACTATAACTACTAAAACTTGATTCTACAAACAAAATTATCATTAATGTTACTGTGAATCTGGCCAACTCAAGATAACCAGAATGGAAAAAAAATAGCAAGTTAGAAGAGACAAGTAGTATTAAAAGAAGCTGGAAGAATTTGGTAGAAAAAGTATTGTGTGACTACTGGACATGTGTTAGAAGTAATAAATCTACTAGTTGATGGACTAGTTTTGGTAGAAGACAATAATGTGGCCAATCATTGTGCAGAAAAACACATGAAAAGAATGGCAATAGGCACACACACACACAGACAGACAGACTCATTAACTCCTGAAAAAGAAAAAGTCCAGATGGGCAGGGTGTGGGTGGGAAAGACAAAATGTTGTAGTTGTACAACATACATAGCACAAAGTCAGTACACAGATGTTTTAATCAGCCAAGGAATAGGGATGGCAGTAGGAGGGGGGGGAATTGGGCAAGACAACTAAACAAATTTAAAAAATCTAAAAAGAATAGAGTGGTAAAGAAAAAAGCCAGAGTGGATCTGGAACTTTACAAATTTTGCAACTAGAGAAATAAATGGGGATTTCATGACAGTCATTTTAGTTCCATGTAAACTTCTAAAGATTAGTAGATTTATTCAATAAGATTTTTTTTCTATCTGATTTACACTTATCAAGAAATAGATTTAACTTAGAAAAGCTTTTGTTTTGGGATATGACAAGGGCAAGATGGCTCACTAATTCTTTTAAAATTCTGGTCTGAAATTTGATTTATCTCCTTTTTATGAGAAGCTCAACAATTGAGCCCTTGCTCTAAAATTCTAAGCATCTCACTATTTGGATCAGTAACAAAGCAAACAAGCCACAGGCACAAAGCACAGTGGACAGGTAGCATAGATTTTACAAATATAAAATTAATTTTTCAGTCTGATATAAAGTATTTAAGGGAAAGGTAGAAGGGAAAAATAAGACACTGCTGCTCTTAAGTGGGAAGACTGATAATAAGCTTAAAAGAAAAAAAAAGTACAAATAAAAGAAAAGTAAAAAAAGGAAACAAAAGTTGAATTTGTTGCACCCAAGGGAAGATAAAGAGCAGTGATTCTATTTACCATTAGTGAAGTCATCCTGCTTAGATAGAAAAGCTTGTTCAGGAGCACATATTGTGCAAAGCCAACCACCATTTGGTCACTTTGGACAACCAGAGAAAAAAGTAAATTATATCCCAAGATTTAAGAAAGCCAAATCTTTATGGGTCAGCTTTTGTCCTGTTGTAGGTTGAAATTTTAAAATGGTGGTAGTGTGGGTTGACATGGAAGAGTAAAAAAAAAAAAAAAAAAAAGAAAAAAGAAAAAAAAAGAAACATGCGCAAAAAGAGAGGAAGGAAGGAGATGGTCGACTTCTGTTGGACTCACACCGCACAACAGGGAGCGGATGTATGGCAGCAGATGCCAGGCTAACACACAGCCAACAGCAAGAACACGCTAGCTCAAACTGACAGGCCACCCTCTAAATCTAAGGACCAACCAATCAACGCACACAGTTACCTGAGTGAGTAGAATCAGTATCTAGAAAACAAAGGTCAATTGGCCATCAGAAGGCGGATAAAAATGCATAATGAAAATGTAACAAAAAGTGTAGAAATAATTAAAAACAGCACAATTCAAAATTGGATGTTGAAATAAGAAACCAAAAAAAAAAAAAATTAATCAAAAACTAGTTCAATATTCTGATGTTAGTTTCTTGCAAAAAGGTTTTTATTTTTTAATGTTACAGAAAAAATTTAATATGAAGTTAAATTCAGGTTCATTTATTAAGTTTTATAAATCTATTTTTGGCAATAAATATTTGATTACAAAAAGCAAATGGGAAATTAACAAAACAAACTGATCGTGGAAGGATGAACATTTTTTTTCTAACAGAAAACTGTCTCAAGCTTTGTACAAATTCAGTCGATGACATTTAGGGATATTCAGAAAAGAATGCAAATGCAAGAAATCATTTTAGCAATTAAATCTTTGTTAGGCTATTTTTTGTTTTTATTTAATAACATTACTTGAATTTTGAGATGAAGCATGTTAATCATCAACTTTTCATTTATATTTTCTTCATTTTCTTTTTACTTTTAATCATTTTTTAGTAGGAAAAAACAATATGGTGATAAGAGTTGAAATAGAGAAGGTTTGCAATATTTATTATTATGTACAGTAATCTCCAATCATATTCATAAATAGAAAAAGGAGCAGCAGTAGCAGTGTGTCCTCCCCTCCATCATACAACAATAACAAAAAGTGAAAAAGAGACAAGAATGCTTGCCAGGTAATTTGGGGTTGTAATCAGCTCAATTGAGGCAAATATAAACTGCCTTATTCTGGTAAATGAAAATTGAAAATGCATGATGTCAATATTGAGAATTTTATTTTTTTTTAAGGTTTCAAAAAGGATTAACAGATTATAACACAACTAAAAATCCTTTTTAGCAAGAAGGAACATCTCAAGTTTAATCAATGTAAGAATGTTTAAATCAGGAAAGTAATAATTTTGATCCAAACTTTTCCAAAGAAATTATTAGCATGAGGTTTACTGTAAGAGTTTTATTGGGAAACAGTAATTTTGATTTTTGCAATGTTTATGAATGTTTCTTAAAATTTTCATAAAAGACACTGATAAAAAAAAAAAACCATCTAAACATGCTGCAATAAGAAAGTGTTAATGAAAATTAAAAACAAAAGAACAATTCATAAAGATGAGAGAATTTGTTTATATTAATATTTTATATTATAAATTAAAAAAGTTTGCAGTTTAAAAAAAGTTTGATGTTAAATATAAAATACAAAATCAACAAAACAGAAAGACAGCTGAAAAGGAAAAAAAAATTAAAATGGAAAACAATGTATATCAAAAATTTTATGCAACTGGAGAATCTTGCAAGAAATCTAGAAAATAAAAGGTTGAACTGATTTTGAGGTTTGCATTTTGGCTTGCTTTAATCTGTGCTACTCAGTCAAGATTTGCTTGGATAACCAATCTGAAGAGCTCATATATAGATATCATTCTTTTAAATTCAAATAGATGACAACTTTTTAGTGATTTGTAAAGAAATACCTCCTGGAATCTTACGTAAGGCTAGAAGAAAATCTACCAACTTTAAGATAAAAAAACAAAAAACAAAAAAAAACAAAGGAGTTTTCACACTTGGCATAACAAATACATGTAAATACCTTGTTTGTTCTTTCACCTAACTGTCAATTCTTTTGTTCCCAAACAATATCATAAAATTAGCTTTATCTATGTATATGCAAGAGACAAAGAAGTTGAATGCTATAGAAGAGGTGGGAGGTTTATTGGAATGGTAGAAGAAAGAGGCAGGATAGAATGTAGGAAGTGGTAAGAGTTGAAAAGAAATAGGAGTAAGAATCAGAGGCAGAGAAGAGGAAGATTGAAAGCTGGACTTTTTCACAAGTGGAGAGAGGGAAATGATTTGAGTAAATTATACATACAAATACATGGCAGATGTATTCTGTATGAATAAAAGTCAATTAGTCTTAATTGGTTATGTTAGTGAGATAATCAGGAGCATTGAATATTTCAATTGAAATTTAAAATTTCTTCCCAAGAAAAAGTCTTCCTAAATATGGTTTCCAAATAGTCATTTACTTTCTAGATGCACACACATACCATTTTGCTTTGTTTGTTGCTAGATTACAAAAGAAAACAAAAAGAATGGAACAAAATTTCAATTTTAATCAACCAAATTTAACCGTCCACGAGTTATCAGCTATGCTAGTTGTTTAGTCTTACACTAACATCTGCTTGGATACATACATCAACCCATCCACTCATCCATAAAATGTAAAATTTTCTGTTGTTTACAAAACAATATGACTGATATGCAAAGCAGTAAATAATTATGTCATACTTTGAGGAGGAGGAGGAAACATACCAAATTCTTCCAGTTCCAAATGCTACCAGATTACTTGACATTTTAGAAGCTGCAGAGATTTCTTCAGTTAGAGAAGCTCATTCTTCTCTTCCTGACAGTACAATTTAAAAGATGTCAACCAGATTACACTCTCCAAGGCAACTCAATTTCCAAATCTATTTTGCAACTATTGTCATTTCCTCATTGCATCTATAGAAATAGGGGACCAAGAATGTAGGACTAAGAAGCCCTAGAGATTCTGGAAAGAATGAACAACAGCAGCAGCAGCAGCTTTGTGCCAAAAGCATCCAAGCTATTGGCTTTGTTGTTGCTATTATACTTATCTCTTTTGGTTGAAGAAATTCACTGTAGATCACAAGAGTGCCAGGAATTGGTGAAGAAGAGAAGATCAGAGAGACATAGTTACTGATATTACTTAATGTGAACAAAGGAGAAAGGTGTGGAGGATTAGAAAATGAAAGACATTGAGAAAGTGCCAAATAACTTGTTAAGTGAAAGAAAGAATTCTTGTGACAAGATACATTTACAGAAGGGAAACCTAAAAAGGAGAAGGAAATAAGGATTCAACATCTGCCAAATGAAGAGTAAACAAGTTGTTGTTGTCATCGGTAAGATGATCAGAAATCTAGAAATGTAATTTCCCAAATGACAGAAGTACTGAACAGGGGTCAGTTGGAATGAAGAACACTAAAGAATTTAAAAAATGATTTACATAGAAGATAAAAATGTTTTAGAGGTACAATAGATATTAACTGCTGAGGAAGGAGACAGATTTTCTGAGTAGTGAAATAGATTGAACTATACAAGCATCTATTATATGTACAAGTTGAAAAGATCTTAGCCTGACCAAGAAGTCCTTAAAGAAGAAACAAAATTTTGATGTTTAGTGATTTGGTCAGATTTGGGGAATAGGGACAGGCTAAGAACTTTTCAACATTCCCCCATCCATATAGCAGATTTTTTTCAAAATAAAAATACTGACAAAAATATCCTTACAGATATTATTCTGCTCTCAAATAAGCCATCCTATAAATGGGGAGTAAACACAAGATACACTTTATGCCATTTTCTGATTCAGAGACACACATGTACCTTGATTGTTTCTTTAAATATTGTCCATTTACTAAAGTTAAATGTTAAAGAATAATATTTGCAGATGCTAAAATATTTATGCTTACTTAATATGAAAGGCACTTTAGTTTTAACATCTGTATATTATTTGAACATCTCAGTAATTAAAACATATAGATGAAGTGTTAAAGGATATGCAAAGGCTACTATAGAGTTCACTTACAATCATTCCTGGCATTTCAAGGACTAAGAATTCCATTTTTTAAAAACTTATTTTGAGAAGGGATGTGCGCGCGCGCGTGTGTGTGTGTGTGGGGGGGGCGATTAACTGAACCAATAAAATCTGAAACCCCATTTAAGATTTTTTAAACATTCAGTGATTGCAGCAATGGCAAGAATGATACTTGTTTCGAAATTTAACTTGAAATCTTTTACAATATTTTTTATGCTTTTTGCAAAAGTTTACCTTCTTTTGGCATGGGTGTGTACAGAATTACTGAGAAACTGACAACAGGGAACTGATTTACTTCAATTTAAATTGTTTCCTCTCCCTCACATAATACTCAAAGCCTTAACTATTGAAATATGAGAGTAGGAAAGAAAAGCCCTACACTCTCTGTGCAGGGTTGCAAAAAGGCCTTGCAGAAAGCAACAAGGGCCGCTAATAGATCTGTTGCTTCATTTTCTTTTTTTCGACTATCTCTACCCCACTGCAAATAAGTTAGTGTTGACATCCTTATAGGTAAGTACTAATAACATGTGGGTTTATTAAACATCTGCTTAATGACAAATTCAAGAGAAACCAAATGCTTACAGCAGAAATTCTGCTATGAGGTTTTTCTGTTTTGTTTTTTGACAGATGACACAGTTTGTGATTGTTCCCCCACACCCCTTCAAATGCATGTATGTTGCTATTGTTGACTTCCCACAGTGTCATGCCTCCACTTTCTGATCCAGGCTTTCCTTAACCATATTTAGCAAAAGGACCTTTCTGAAGTATAGAAGAAGAAAGAGATGTAGAGATGGGATGACAAAAGACAACAAGCAGGAGGAAAAAAATACAAGGGTGTTTGGTTAGCTGAAAGACCCACCCATACACAAAAAGAGAGGAGCAAAGTGAGTAAATAAAAAAAAGAAAAAAAGAGTGGCACATAGTATGAGAAAAAATTGTACGGAGATGGGTAAATAGGAGAGAAATGAGAAGAAACTCACAATCATTCATCAAGAGGGGAGGTACGGATGGCTCAGAAAAGATGGAGAGAAATAGACAACTGACAGTTGAATGAGAAGCAATAGAAAGAGAGAGAGAAGGAGAAAGGGAGATTAGAAAAAGTAGTTGAGCCAACAGTTGACACTTGGAAGATAGATAGCAGCCATAAGAATTATGACATTTTGTGGAAATGCAAAGAGGTAAAAATTTACTTTGGACTAAATTTTGTTAGCTTCCCTCACAATACAATTTGAATAAAAAGTACCTAAATACTAAAATCTCTGAAAACCTTTGCTTTTATGCAATCAATATTTAATAACTTTTATGAATTTGTGCATTTCAATGGCTATTTACATCCTTCTCAGTTCCATTAAAACAAAAAAATATCACTGTCAATATTCAATTAACTTCAGTGAGAAATTTAATGATTTATAATCTTGATATTTGTTCTTAACTATTGAAAATAATCACCTCTATTGAACATTGAGCATGACTAAGCTGCTAATTGTAAGACTTCAAATTTGGGGGTCTTACCTACCATTAGAGCAGTTATTTTAAATGTGGGTATCTAATAGTAAGGCCAATTATCACTATTGATATTAGTGCTAAAGATTTTAAATGCTTACCTTTATTACTCAACTCTTCTTCACTCACTGAATGCAAATGAAAGAAGTGACTCAATATGATTTGCTTTTTTATTTAACATTTAAATTTCTCAAATGATTAACCTTCCTGGTCAAGTTGCTTATGCTATAGCAGTGAATTTGGGATATTTTTAAAGCCATCTTGTAATAAGCAATCTAAATAATATTTGTTAGAGAATTTTTTAAAGAATCCCTTATAAATTGAATGTAGAAATATGCTACTGTTGTAAAACTATGTAAAAAGCTATTGACTGAGACAAATGGACAGTAATGCTGAACGAGAATACTGAAATGGGACTGTGAAATCTAACATTTAGACTGCTTTACCATTGAAAAGGTAGGGAAAAAGGCACCAGTGTGCTAAAGTATAACAAAAGGTTGGGGTTAGTGAAGGAAAAAGACACAGGGCAAATACTGAGAGAAGGAGAGATATTGAAATAAGAAAAAGTGGTAGAGAAGCCAATTGAAGTAAATAAATGCTCTTTTGTAGAAAATGAAAAGCAAAGAACAAAAACCAAAAATGAATATTGATTATTGTCCAAATGAAAATTTCTCATTCTGCTAATTAGAACACATTAAGTGTGTCCTAACCAAAGGGAGAAAAAGGAAAAAACAAAACAAAAGAAAAATGCTAAATGAAACGTTCTATGATCAACCCTCATTGTATTCAAAATGTTGTCATATTGTGTTTTTGTAGAATTAAATAAATAAAAAAAAAAAGAAGATTATTTTTATTGAGTGGGGGCCAATCATTAATGAAGTGACATTCAAACTTTTCTTAACTTTTTTCTAATCTAACTTCTTTTGGAACAAATAGACAAGTGAAAATTTCATTTGATAGCTGTGGAAAAACATATTGCGGTGAATTCAGGAATATAACATAATGGATAAAGACAAGTCCAGTTCTACCAAAGCAAAAGCTGATCCCTATTATTCCATCTTGTACACAAATATAAGTAGTACAAATCTAACTATATATTTCTTTCTGGAACTGGTTTCAGTTAACCAAAGATTGAGAATTCTTGCACTGGAATAGGTTATCTTCTTTAATTACCAAACAAGACCCTCTGAATAAACATGGCCATGGGGGTCTGTATCAAAAGATAGGTTCCTATGTGGCAGAAACACCACAAGTAAAGGCTTTAACTTTCTATTCATGTACTTTCATGTGGCCCTTTTCATAATGTCTTTCATCTTTACTAGCATCTTCAGAATGATGGCACTGTGTTGTTTTACTAAATAAATGAGACTATTGATGTTAGCCTGTCTAATTATTAATATTTCTCAGCTCTCATACATATATATAGTGATTTCAACTGTAAGGAATGACTAGCTCACTTAAACAAAACTGATACTTCTATGATGCCTCCATTGTATACCAGTTGACCCAGATTGCAGATAAACCTACTTGTGTTCTCAATAAAGTAGGTTACCATGCAAATCTACTAGACCTCTTCCTCACCACCTGTCCTGACCAATGTTTCTCTGTTGTTTCACCTCCCTTGGGATCATTAGGCCACTCATTGGTCTGTGTCAAGATCGAGATCAAAGCAAAAGAATCCTCTGATATCCCATTTCATTAGACAGTTTTTTAACACTAGAAATCTGACAGGGATAGTTTTAGATTATTTTATTGCTGAAACTACTCTCAACTTTATTCAAAAATAGAGCATCAAGGATCCTTTCTGGTACTGAGAGTTTCATCCCTTTCAAGAAGTACCAGCAAAGGACAGTCAGTCAGCACCAAATGTACTGCAACCAGAGCTTACTATAGTCATTACTCACATTTTCGTCATCATAAATGACATAGCAAGACTTGTGCCACATTCAGAACTACCCACAATCATTGCAAAAAAGTTCTGGAGAATGTTAATCTATCAACCCAACTTAGAATTGACAGCAAAAAGACTTAGTTCCCCTGAGAATCATTAACAACATTCTTGAAGCACTGTGTCTACTCTTATTAATAGCCATTATTTTCTGGTTATTTTAATTTCACTGGGCAAAGCTAAACTCTCTGCAATGAGCTTTGCTTTGAACACCACACTAGATGACCAGGGCTATCTTCTACCTGATTTCCCTCCTCTATCTTGGCTCAGGAAGCTTCCAAACACATCAAAACCTTGATGCTATAAAGATTACTGATTTGGATAAAATCCCTATTGTACATGGGTTCATATAACACATGCTTCATTTAACCATTTTAAACAGTAACTCTCCACCTTGTGGCTCTCAAACTTTGTATTGGATAAACTTTGGTATAAAAAAAAGTCATATAACTGGACTTTAAAATTTTATAAAAACTGTATAATAAAACTCTTTCAAAATGATCTTATCATTGCTAATAATTTGAATAATCATATCTGCTGAGAAGTCTGAAGACCACTGGTTATATATTAAAGATGTTTTAAGTTCTATAGATCCTATCAGTAAAACATATCTCCATGATCTTTAGTTTTCATGAAAAGAAATGTATAAAGTGTCATAATTTCAAAATAATTGTTAAATCATAAGAGTTTTAAGTAGTAGTAAAGAAAAAATATTTTTTAATAATAAAAATAAAATAAAAAGATGCTAATATTTACTGAAGAAGTTCAGAACAACAATTTTTCTAAAACACATTCTAATAGTTCCATGTCATCATATAAATCAAAATCAGTTTTATATAATTGTGCTTCTGTTACTATACTTAATACTAAAAACTGATTATTATTTTCATTGGCCAATAAAAGGTTCATGTGAAGAATATCTAGTTAAAATTCTGTTCATGTCTGTGTGTTCAGATTTAGGAAAACCAAATATATAAGCAGGTGCTTCTTACTAATAAAGGAATGGAATGGATAAATGATGCAAGTAGTTAAATTGCTTGGTGTATCTGTTATGCATAGCAAATATGTGCTAAAGTGCCTCAGACAAATTATTGGCTATCATTTGAAATCAGCTGATGATGACCTGACCTAAATTAAAGAAAGAAAAATATAGATTGCAAAGTTGGTTTATAAAAAAGAAAAGAAAAAAAAAAAACATGTTACAAGTAAAAAAAGAACAGTGCAAATATATTTATATCATAATTTTGGAATATAATGCATCATTGTGATTGTGGATGAGGAAAACAGTTGTGAATAATAAATGTATGAAAACTAACATAATCAAGTATGTCCATGTTCAATACTCATATGGCATGATGTCTGGAGTCTGATTCAATCATAGTATCGTTTCTTACTTCTGACATTGGTATTTTGGATGACTGAACTGCCATGATATGCATGTGATAAATTTATATAAATTTGTATCTTTAATTTTCTTCAACTAATAGAAAAAATACTGAGATTTACTTATTATCAAATTAAAATTTAGCCAAATTTATTGGATATAATTAAATGAAGAAATATTGAAATTATGTTTTCCAGGCCAAGAGTTGGTAACCCTTAACATGTTTTTGCATTGAGAGTGAAGATCAAAAAGAATTGAGCTACTAAACAATAGTTATTATCCTTCAATGAAATGAATCAATTCGGTAGAAAACCAGCTTTTTAAAGGTGATGAATAAAAAGAAGTTTCTCAGGGGTTTCTTCAATGAATTAAAATATTTAAACAATTTAACATGGAAGAAAAATAAACCAATGTTGTGAGCACAGACAACACAGATGTCATGGTCCTAGATTCTTTGAGAAATTATGGATTTTGAAGCAAAGTTCTGATTTTGATAATGTCATTTGGATAGACAAAGGGAAAAGCTACTTCCCCTCAACCATAAGATTTAACAAAGTTAGATCTGTTGAAAAAAAAAAAAAAAAAAATGAAGATTTGGATTTGTTGTTCTGTTTGAAATTTCCTGTTTCTGGCTGTAAATGAGAAACCTGAAAATACTATCATGTGATTGAAGCCAACAATGAAAGACAAGAGAGAAACAGATAACAAAATGAATGTCTGCCATGAGGACAATGGCAGAGATCTCACAACCTACCAGTCGGTTTCTTCACCAGGTAAGGTTCGTCTAACCAAATGAAAAAGGTCTCATTCTTTTCATATTCCTCATCATCCACAACACGGACGCGGACAAATTTTCTGAAAGAAAAAAAAAATGATTGTTAGAGAAATCGCTTGGTTACACGAGACTGCAATTTTAATATTAAAGGTTTGGTGATGATGTTGTCCTCACTCCCATCCCCATTACGATCAGTCCATTTTGCATACTTGAATATCAAAAAACAGAAACTCTCCAGTCATGCAGTGCCTGTAAAATGTAGATCACCTGACTTTCAATTTAAACTAGCTATTTTGTAGATTTCTCATGATACAAAGAATGGGAAACATTGTTATCAGACAAAAGCTCTCATTTCTTCACAGGTGGGCATGTTTGACTGACTGGGGAGGATAAAGACACTTGTGAGATTTTCTTCTTCTGGGATTCTTTTTCAAAATTTTATTTTATTTTTCATTTGATTAGATTCTAATTCAGACATTTTTTTTAGTCAATTTATTTCATATGGTATTTCTATTCAAATGCAGAGTTGGAAAATTCTCAAGTATGTGTGTGCATACACATTGAAAAAGTTGCAGAATTTTAAGAATATCATTAAATTATATTTGAAAGCAAGGAAATACATTCTATAATTTAAAAGTGTAGAGAGAGAGAATGAATAGGATAGACTTAAATGTTCAGTCTTTATAAAAAACAATATCAGAGTTCAGAGCTGTCAATAAAACTAGATTAGTTGTTTAAGCCACAGGTTTTGAACTGCAATATCAACATTAGAAATGTTCAGCATGAAATTAATTTTCTCTTTTGTTTCAGTAAGAAAAATATTTCTTTAAACTATTCTTTATTCAGTAAAGTAATGCATTTTGATGGTTTGTGGCAAATAGTGAAAGCCTTTTCAATCCATGGTTTTTATGTTTTCTACTTTTATATATAGAAAACAATTTGGGTCATAATTCGGCATTTGGAAACATTCCTGTTAAAGAATGGACAGAAAGATCTTGTATTAAAACATTTACAAGAGATTTCAGTTTAGAAAAGCAGGAGAGAGGGCAGTGCAAACCATAAATCAGTGGTGGGGCTTGGAGGCTGTGGTAGACTAGAATTCCAAAACCAAAAGAACAATTTCAAGAATAAAGAGTGAATGATTAAAAAAAAAAAAAAGAAAAAAAAAGGAAATTGATTCCATTGGAATTGAATAATCAAGATCACTACATTAATCATGATCCATGCTATGGAGTTGATGCATTATATGACTAAAGATCTTCGCAGTTGCTGAATATGGATAAGGATTCAAAACATTAAAACTATGTCATCATTCTGGAAATGGTGTTTAATGAAACAGAAATGATTTGAGATATAATATTTTCCTTCAATGTAGTCAAGCCGGAAACAGTGCATTAAAAATTCAAACAGTGCTCAGTTTGATGATTAGAAATGGTGCTATCTTGTTGTATGATCATATCTAAACTTATATTGCAAAAATGAACATAAAAGTTCAACTAAAGATGGAGGGTTGACTGCACCATGTCTATTTACCCAACTTCCCTTTTATGGCTTACTGTATTGCCAAGCATACACCATTTCTTATAGACAAGGATTTCTTTAATGAGGTATGAAAAAACCTTTAAAAGATTGGTTCTTTGAAGAGACCAAAGATTTTCAGTTTAAATTGGCAATTTCTTTTTTAACAGCTTGATGTTTTATTACTTGTGTTTGTGACTATTGTTTAAATATGAGTGATTATCATTTGAAGAGTCAAATTATAAAAGGGATAATTTTCTTTCAAGGTTTGAAGATAAACAAAAGATTTTTAGCAAATGGGGTTGAATAAAAAAACTGATAGAAATAATTAAGTAGAAATCTGAAAGAAAGAAAAGTGGGTGGCAAATTTAGAATGCTTGAAGTGTAGGAGTTTTTGTATTATTTCAGTTTAAGTCATTGAACAGATTGTAAAGCTGCTGAAAAAAGAGAGACATTGGTGAGAGTCACTGAAGGTGTGTAGGGAGTAAAAAATAGAGCAATCACCATGATATGTTTAATGATCAATATTAAGTGGTGGATACAGATTTAGTTCTTAGTGATTCCCAAAATGTGAGTGCACTAGAAAAGGCATTATAAAAAGCAATGTCATATGATGTAATGGATTTTGCCCCAAACTCCAAGATAAACAAAGTAGAAGTGTTGAGGAGAGAGAGTGATTTTTTTTCTTTTTTTTTTTTTTAAAGTGATTTGCTTTTGTAAAAGTGAGCAGAACTTTTGATTGGACATAATTACTACTTATAAAAATGGAAAAGTGTCAAACTGCATCAAGTAACTTGTCAGCTTCCACAGATAGAGAGATTGAGATTATGTCTTATTATAGAAGAGTGCATGTCATTTACATTCCCAATTCAGCAATGGTGACTGGACTTTTTTTTCTGTACCCATTTATCAAGTGGTGGTAGAGACAGGGAAGAGTGGAAGACTTAATCCAAACAGTTCTCCTTAATATATTAAATGAAAGAAGGTAGAATATGCCACTAACTCCATAGAAATCGATTCATACTCTAGTTTTACAGATTTTCAAATGATACTTGAACTAAC